CAAATCCCAGGGAGGCGGAGCTGCCATGTCCTGCTCCCTGCTTGTTCCCTGACACCTGCAGCTGAGAATCATGGGTCAGTCCGGGGTTAGCGCTGATGGTGAGACAGGAGTAGCTGAGGTAGTAGGGCCCATGAATGTCAGATTGCAGCGCAGGCTCCTCCTGTTCCTCTGGGAAGTAACCTGTCCCACCCCACTGGGCACCCCCCCACACCTGACCCCATGCCTTCTTCCGTCCCTCCTGTGCTTCTCCCCTGGTCTCTAACCCCCCAGTGTAATGTTCCCTGCCCTGCTCCCCTCCCCTGCAGGGCTCATCACCAGCAGCCAGTCGGCAGCCTATGCCATCAGCAAGTTTGTCAGTGGGGTGCTGTCTGACCAGATGAGTGCTCGCTGGCTCTTCTCGTCTGGACTACTCCTGGTTGGCCTGGTCAACATATTCTTTTCCTGGAGCTCCACAGTACCTGTCTTTGCTGCTCTCTGGTTCCTTAATGGCCTGGCCCAGGGGCTGGGCTGGCCGCCATGTGGGAAGGTCCTGCGGAAGGTGAGTGCTTCCAAAGAGCCTGTTTGGATTGTCATAGAGGATGCCTAAAGAGCATGTGGGAGCACCCCTTCTGACCTACCACCTCAGCGCCCAACCCATAGCAGGTTCTGAGCAGTTCCTGGCCAGCTCCTGCTGCTTGTCAAGATATTTTAGGAGGCTGAGAGTGGTGGGATCAGGTGGCAGAGGAGCGAACTTCCCTGCCAAACAGAAGTGCCCTTTCCCTCTTCCCTGTAATGTGAGCTTCTGGGGCTGCCCCACCTGACCCCACCCTCAATATGGGCAGTAGGCTAGACACCTACTTTGTCGCCCTCTGCCCCACAGTGGTTTGAGCCATCTCAATTTGGCACTTGGTGGGCCATCCTATCAACCAGCATGAACCTGGCTGGAGGGCTGGGCCCTATCCTGGCAACCATCCTCGCCCAGAGCTACAGCTGGCGCAGCACGCTGGCCCTGTCTGGGGCACTGTGTGTGGTTGTCGCCTTCCTCTGTCTCCTGCTCATCCACAATGAACCTGCTGATGTTGGACTCCGCAACCTGGACCCCACACCCTCTAAGGGCAAGAAGGGTGAGCCCCCACCCAAGACGACCACTGGGGCACTCATTCATCGGGCAGATTTTTGTTGAACACTAGGCATTTGCCTGGTTCTCTGCTAGCCAGTGGATGTGGGGGAAGGGGTGGTAATGGAGGCTACATGGAGAGTAAACAAAACTCCATCCCAAGAGGCGGTTAAGTACCAGACAAGTGGCAGGGCCAACAAGTGCTATGACTCATGTTATTTTCTGGCTCTTCCTCACAACAGCACAGACTTCCCTCTCCTGGATAGATAGAATCATGAGCTTCAGTGGCTTGGGTGCCTTCCTCCATCCTCCCTGGTCCTGTTTCTCTTTCATTCACTGAGCTTGCAGTGGAGACGGGGAGACAGCAGAGGGTTGAGGGAATATCCTTCACGCTGACCCTGGCTGTGCAGATGGACTCTGCCCCTGTGGCTGGTTAATGAATGGTGGGGGCCCAGGATGGGGAGAGCAGTAAGGGCAGAGCCTGACACCTGGCCTCTTCTCACCTCCAGGCTCCTTGAAGGAGGAGGGCACCCTACAGGAGCTGCTGCTGTCCCCTTACCTGTGGGTGCTCTCTACTGGTTACCTTGTGGTGTTTGGAGTAAAGACCTGCTGTACTGACTGGGGCCAGTTCTTCCTTATCCAGGAGAAAGGACAGTCAGTCCTTGTAGGTAAGATGGGCACTGGGGAGGGGTGGGCATAAGAAGCAGGAACCAATGCAGGGGATGGAAATTCAGACCTTGCTTCCCTTTATCCTCTTTATTCATTCCTTGAGGCTGGGCACTACTCAGGCAGTTATAGTCAGTCACCTGTGGGGACCCTGTACCTCTCCGGGTTTAAGCCATTGTGGGATGACCCCAATGTGTAACACCCTTCCACCCTTCCCTTTCCTCTTCCCACAAATCCCCACTGCAGGTAGCTCCTACATGAGTGCCCTGGAAGTTGGGGGCCTTGTAGGCAGCATCGCAGCTGGCTACCTGTCAGACCGGGCCATGGCAAAGGTGAGTGGGCAGAAGGGACAGGAGAAGGGTCCCTTTCAGTCTTCACAGCATGGCTGGGACAGGCACTGGAGAGAAGGGAGTCCCAGGGCACAGGCAGGTTGGCATCTGCTGGATTAGACCGGGTGAAGAGGGAATGATTCCAAGCTGCTCTTAGCTTTCCTAGAGATGTGGAGGTAAGGCTCTTGGGGAGAGTTTTAACTGATGTGAAGGACAGCCAGAATATTTCTTAGCCTAGCTTAGAAAGGCTAAGTAGGCTTCTCCACAGCCCCAGGAAAATGGGTTAGGAACAGACTAGGGGCATTCCCCAGCACGTGTCTTGGTCCTGCCCCAAGCGGGAGGAAGGGATGTTGTGGAGTTTGGCCTCAGAATGTAATGAGCAGGTCGCAGGGCCTCCCAGAGCTGCCCAGGGCCAAGAACTGTGGTGGGATTGCCAAAGACCTGTCAGCAGAGGCCCTGCTGTGTCAGAGTCCAGGGGTGGGGGGTTCTCTGCCCTGTTCTGAGAGCCTGACATTGCCAGGACTGCATCCATAGGCGGGACTGTCCATCTACGGGAACCCTCGCCATGGCCTGTTGCTATTCATGATGGCTGGCATGACAGTGTCCATGTACCTCTTCCGGGTAACAGTGACCAGTGACTCCCCCAAGGTAATTAACGGCCTGGCTCATGGTAGGGCCCAAGGAGAGAAAGCAAGGGCCACTGAGTCTGTCTCCCTCTCCTGGCTCTAGCCTGGGCCAGTTTTTTCTCTGCCTCTCAGATTCCCTTTTCAGTTCTGATTGGACTGCTCTCTCTGTATCTGGGTTCTCCTCCTCCACTCTGGGCTTGGTTTTCTTTTCTTCCCTGTGCTCCACTAGGATGTTGCTTTCTGGACTCTGGCTCTTCACCCTCTCTCGGAGCTCACAGGCTTTACGGAGCGCGAGGTGCCTTAAAGATATCTCTGGTTTTTCTCCTGGTCTGTCTCACCTTTGTCCTACCCCTCTGCCACACCCCTAGCCTGTCCAGCTTGTGTAAATCCTGAGCACAGCCTCCAACTCAGGGATGACTTCTGTACCTCCTTTCCCTGCCCACCTAGATCCCTGGGTTGGCTCAATATGGCATCTACTCTAGCTCTGTACTGTCAATTGTGTTGGGGAGTGGGGGGAGGAGGGTCACTTAGTTACTGTCCCTTTACAGCTACTGTTTGTTCCTGGGGACCAAGCCTTCCTTGCCCTGGCAGGGGTGGGCAGGCAGGTAGGCTTTCCGACTCTTGAGTGCCACTCCATTCTGCCCTTGCAGCTCTGGATCCTGGTACTGGGAGCTATATTTGGTTTCTCCTCGTATGGTCCCATTGCCCTGTTTGGAGTCATAGCCAACGAGAGTGCCCCTTCCAACTTGTGTGGCACCTCTCATGCCATTGTGGGACTCATGGCCAATGGTAAGTGTTACCTTCTAGAGTCTCTCTCACCCCCACCTGTGCTTTGCATATAGGCCAGTGAGAAGCTGGAGCTAGCACCACTGGCTTAGCATCTTCCCCTTCCCCCTGACAGTGGGCGGCTTTCTGGCCGGGCTGCCCTTCAGCACCATTGCCAAGCACTACAGTTGGAGCACAGCCTTCTGGGTGGCTGAAGTGATTTGTGCAGCCAGCACAGCTGCTTTCTTCCTCCTACGAAACATCCGCACCAAGATGGGCCAAGTGTCCAAGAAGGCTGAGTGAACAGAGTCTAGGTTCTGGAGCACCATCCCATGGTGGCCTTCCTCCTGCACCTTGTGGGGGGAGAAAAGGAGGGGCCTGCTTGGCTAGCCCTGAACCTTTCACTTTGTTTCTGCGCCTTCTCCCTCACCCAGGTGGCGCTGGAAGTTATCAGCGGCTAGTGAGGTCTCAGCTCCCTGATCCTATGCTCTATTTAAAAGATAACGTTTGGCCTTAGACTCCATTTGCTCATATGTCCAGCCTGCAGACAAACAGGAAACTTCTGCAGTCAGGAAGCCTCCTGTACCCTTCTTTTCCTAGGTCCTGTCCTGCCCCCATCCTACTCCATCCCCACTTGATGTGCGGCTGTCCCTCCCTGCAGCTGCAGGGCGCTAATGGCCCTTGACTTCTGCTGGGCCCTAAGTCCTCTCAGCAGTGAGTGACTGCTATTGCCAATACCTCAGACTCCAGGGCAAGAGAGGAGGCCATCACTCTCACTAGTACCCAAGGCACAGTTGGGTATGGGTGGGAAGAAAGGATGACTTGTTATAGAAGATTAAAACGATTTGATACTGAACACTGTTGGTGATTGATTCTTTCAAAATGAGACAGCTTCCTTGGGAAACACTATCAATACCTGCTCTTTCCACCCCAAAGGGAGAGACTGCGTCTTTCCCTAGAATGGGGAAGCTGAAATGTAGATGGACTTCTTTAAGGCTCAAGCCTCCTCTGCCTTCACCTGAACATTGACTAGTTCAATGATTATTTTAGAGATAAAACTATTGGGTTGTGGGCAGGTTAAACAACTTGATGGAGGGAGGAAGTGTAACAGTGGTTTATTGAGTGTGTAGTTAGAAAGCCTAGGTTCAAACCCTGGCTGTCAGTAACTAGCTTGGAGACTTTGAGGCAGAAAGTCTGCAAATCTCTTGTCTGTAAAAGAATGTACCCCCTGGGGTTAGGGTGAAGATCAAGTGAGATAAAGCAGGAATACCTGGCTGTAAATGCTTGATATATGTTTCAACCACCACCACCGCTGCCAACAGCCTAGGACCCCAGGAAATTAGCAGCAATTCTGGGATTAGATCCAGTGCACACACTTCAAAGTCTTATGTTCATTTACTTAATGAACACATATTTGTTAGGTTTTTTACTAGAATATCATCTTTGCAGAATTCCCTAACCATTTTTGTCTCCCTTCCTGTACCTTTCCCCCAAAACCATCGATTAAGATAGCAAACACCAAGATCAAAGGAATGTTTATTACAACATTTATGGACCTTTCTCCTCCATAAATAAATCTGTACAGAGTTGGAAAATAAGACCATGATATATACAGAAGGAAAGAGCATAGTGTTAAGGCTCAGGAATCAGCACATGTCATCAGGGTCAGCATTTTCCCATTTTCAAGTGCACTAACAAGGCTGCTGGAATCTCCACCGAGTGGAAACAGTATTCCTGTTGCGGGAACTCTCAGAATGTGGGGGTCCATCGCAGGTTCAGCCTATGACCCAGGTCCAAAAGTTCCAGCCTTCTCTGCCACCTCCAGGGCTAGCTTCAAATTCTGGTCAAATAGCTCACACCTAAGCCAGGCCCAAGGTGGGCAAAAAAAAACAACATGAAGCCTGAGGTTTCTCCCTACTTAAGCCAGGGTAAACTGCTTGAAGACAGACATAAATCATGGGAGGTGGAGGTCGGCGAATCATCTGAGGTCAGGAGTTCGAGACCAGCCTGGCCAACATGGTGAAACCCCTAACCCTAACCTGTCTCTATTAAAAATACAAAAATTAGCCAGGAATGGTGGCAGGTGCCTGTAATCCCAGCTACTTGGGAGGCTGAGACAGAAGAATTGCTTGAACCCAGGAGGTAGAGGTTGCAGTGAGCCAAGAGATCATGCCATTGCACTCCAGCCTGGATGACAAGAGTGAAACTCTATCTCAAAACACAACAAAACCATAAACCCGAAGGAAAATCTGTTTTCTCAAATAAAGGGCTAGTCACTGTTGTCTTATTTATTTGACAGAGTTTCACTCTGTCACCAAGGCTGGAATGCAGTGGCATGATCTTGGCTCACTGCAACCTCTGCCACCCAGGTTCAAGCAATACCTCAGCCTCCTGAGTAGCTGGGATTACAGGTGTGCACCACCACACCCAGCTAGTTTTTGTATATTTAGTAGAGACCAGGTTTTGCCATATTGGCCAGGCTGGTCTTGAACTCTTGACCTCAGGTGATTTGCCTGCCTCAGCCTCCCAAAGTGCTGGGATTACAGGCATGAGCCACCACACCCAGCGACTATTGTCTTACTTATTTAGAGACATGGTCTTGTTCTGTTGCCCAGGCTGGAATGCAGTGGCACCAGCATGGCTCAATGCTGCTTTGAGCTTCGGGTTCACGCAATCCTCCCACCTCGGCTTTCGGAACAGCTGGTGTCTGCCACCACACCAGGCTAAATTTATTTATTTTTTTATTTTTATTTTTATTTTTTTTTGGTAAAGATGGGTCTATGTTGTCCAGGCTGATCTCAAACTCCTGGGCTCAAGGGATCCTACCCCCTCAGTCTCCCAAAGTGCTGGGATTACAGGTGTGAGCCACCAGCCTGTCCTCTTGTCTTACTTAAAAGTAATACTCTGCTATGCTTCAAATGACTTTGGGCAGAGCACACAAGGAGGGGCAAGGAGGCTTTAACCAGTATCTGGGAAGTGGGGCCACTTACCTGATGGGCATTTCTAAGGAGTAGAATGGATTCTTGAGGGCAAAGTCTGAGTAAATCTCATAAATCTTTCGGAGAAGAGAATCTATTCCAGCTTGCCTAGGATCTGCTAGAACCACAAATTTGATCCCTGGAGAGAGACCAAGAATGGTTACCAAAGGGTAGACACTGGAGCAAATAGTGTCATCTGTATTCGTACAGCACTTTCAATTTTGCAAAACACTTTCATAAGCCCATTTTAATTTTATTCTTTTACCACATAATGCAGGAAAGGCAAGACTTTGAATCTACAGATGAGACCAGAGAAGTAAAGTGACTTTATTATGTTGCCCAGCTGATTAAGACCAGGCTTTGAGTTCTACCTCTGCCAGTTACTAACTGTTTTGGAGTCCCTCAGCAGAAACATTGCCAGGCAGGGGACAAACTCAGGCAGTTTTCAATAAATTAAGGGGGTGAAGCAATGACACTCGCAATCCAAAGGTCATATCCATTTGGCTTTCAAATTTCATTGTGGAAAAACACTTAACACCTTCCAAAGTAAATGCAACAGAAAACAGCATTAAGCTAAGTTTTATCTGAACACAAGATAACCTGTGCTGAACATGCTGGGTGGCATGGACAAAATCGGTTTCAGATTAAATATTGGCTTTGGATTCACAAAACAAACAGACAGATGTGTCTGTAGAATTGTGCCAGGAAGGCCAGGCACAGTGGCTCACATCTGTAATCCCAGCACTTTGGAAGGCCAAGGCAGGTGGATTACCTGATGTCAGGAGTTTGAGACCAGCCTGGTCAACATGGTGAAACCCAGTTCTATTAAAAACACAAAAAATTAGCTGGGTATGGTAGCAGGCACTTGTAGCTACTCGGGAGGCTGAGGCAGGACAATCACTTGAACCCAGGAGGTGGAGGCTGCAGTGAGCCGAGATCACGCCAGTACACTCCAGCCTGGAGTGGCAGAGTGAAACTCCATCTCAAAAAAAAAAACAACACACCCCCTCTTCTTGCTTACCAAAGGTGTCTTTGGTCAATCCCTTCCCCCAACCTTCTCCATCACACTCCTCTGGCCTCCTGGAGATGCATACCTGTGAGTGTTTCTTCTCCATCACATTCCTCTGGCCTACCTGGAGATGCATACCTGTCAGTGTCTGGTAGCAGTGCAATTTGAATGTATCTGTCTCCAGCATCTCAATGCCTGAGCTTCCCTGTTCAGGAGACAGCTGAGAGCCGATGGCAAAGAGCCTACATGCAAAGGAGGCAAAGTTGCTCTAAGGAAGGAGTGCTTCTCAAACCTCCACTGAAGTGTCCCTATTTGCTGAGTTCACAGTACCGCCTGGAACAGTCAGGAGAAGTAGTGTGAACTGTCTGGCAGTAGTGTTAAAATTTCTAAGTTCATCTGAATTCTGCAAACATTTTACATTCATACTTTGTTATAAGACATTTAGCCGGGCGTGGTGGCTCATGCCTGTAATCCTAGCACTTTGGGAGGCCGAGGTGGGTGGATCACCTGAGGTCAGGAGTTCAAGATCAGCCTGGCCATAATGGTGAAACCCCATCTTTAAAAAACAAAAAAAGACATTTAACATCTAAAACTTTGGGTAAAATGAACACTCTAGGAATATGTGCCACGCCTACTTAGCCTGTGTTTAAGCAAAGGCTGGCACATTTGATACCATAGTTGAGAGCAGGAAGAAATTTTTAAAGATCATTTAGTTCAATTGGCTTTATTTAAATATGAAGAAAGCAAGGCTCAGAGATGAGAAGCTGACTTTAATTAAGATGACACCTCGGCCAGATGCCGTGGCTCACGCCTGTAATTCCAGCACTTTGGGAGGCCAAGGCGGGTGTATCACCTGAGGTCAGGAGTTCGAGATCAGACTGGCCAACATGGCAAAACCCGGTCTCTACTAAAAATACAAAAATCAGCTAGGTGTGGTGACGTGCGCCGGTAATCCCAGCTACGCAGGAGAATGAGGCAGGAGAATCGCTTGAACCTGGGAGGCAGAGGTTACAGTGAGCAGAGATCGCGCCACCGCACTCCAGCCTGGGTAACAGAAGGAGACTCCGTTCCCCCGCCCCCGTACAAAAAAAAAAAATGATACCACTGCCACTATTACCTAAAATCTAGATCTGGATCAGTTGCGTTTTTCACAACACCAGAACCACGATTTAAGAAGGGGTAGAGAAATTAAGAAGAGGCAAAGAAATTACAAGCGCTGCCGAGACAGGGGACTTACGAGTGGAACATAGAGGCCAGCATGAGCTTCTCATTAGAAGTGAGGCGGGGCCGGCCAAATCGAATGGACACCGGGTAGTTAGCAGGGTTACCCAGATACTCCAGCACCTCTTTCCCGTCGGCCGTGTACTTGCCATTCACGTCCATGCCATTGATGGCCAGCACTGCATGGCCCACTGCAGAGGTGAGGCTGTCAGGGAAGCTGCAGCCCCAGGATTCCGCCACAGGGAGAAGGGACCCGACACCACCCCCTTACTCCCAGCTCCGCACCTGCAACTAGCCCACTTCCGCAGCACTGGGGCCCGCCCCCCGCCCTCCATCTCCGCAGGGCCCGAGGCTAGCCCACCTCGGATACCGTCCCGCTGGCCGAAAGCAACCAGCACACGCTCATCGTGTAGCTTGAGCAGCAGATCCAGGGGATAACTGAAAGTTTTCTCAGCCTCGGCCCGCGGCGCATAGCTGTCCAGCTGGTAAATCAGGCCGCCAGCTTTGTTCACCACATACACACTAAAAATCGCCATTGCTGCTACCGCCGCTCAGGGACTGGCGTTCGGCCTCTACCCGGAACCACAACACAGCACTTGCCCCGGGCCCCACCCCAGCCTCCACCCCCCGGACCCCGAGCACCGCCCATGCGGCGCCTGCGCACTGGGAGCGACACGCTCGGTTATTACTAATGCCGAAAAGCTAGCTGCCGAGACCTGGTGCATTGCTTGTCGTTTATCAGTACCGGAAAACACTACTACTGTATAGTACTGCGTCACAACTAGCGCAGACTCCGACAAGCTGGGGCGGTGTATAGGTTGTACGGCTTGGGAACTGGAGTCCACTTCCTTCCGCCTCAAGCCAGAGGACGAGCGCTTCGCTGTGGGACTTCCTCCGCCTGGCTCCGCCTCTTGCCCTGGAAGTAGTCATAGCGGACGGAGGTTTCTGGGCCCGTTTTTGAGCAGGGCTTCCTTTTTGTCCGACATCTTAGCGCGGTCGTAGTGTTCGCCGCTGCTCTCCGAGCTTCGCAATGGTAAGCTTCAGGGATATGAAGTCGCCGGGGTTCTTGGGTTTGAGGACTCAGTGGGAGGGAGCATTCGACAGTAGCGCTTGTTGGCCTGCCGGCCTCGGGGCGGAACGGGCGCGGTTATTGCTTTGCCCATGTGCTCCGGTGGTGGAATTTGCGGGGCCTGGGGGCGCAGTATTAAGGGAGTTTGGGGCTATTTGAGGACCTGGCTGCATTACCGCTGCCCTCCTACAGCCCCCCAAGGACGACAAGAAGAAGAAAGA